GGCTATTTTTTTTTTTGGTTGCAGCCATCATTGTTGTTTGGCGGGTCCGGGCTGGGGATTCGAACCCTCCACCTTAGGTGTACGTGGCTGGCGCCTTAGCTGGTTGAGCTATAAGCGCCGAGCCTATACATTATTTTCTAATGAAAGCCAACATTTTATTGTATTGAAACTACCTAAGAAATCTTCAGATACATTCTACTCTCAAAAATCTAAATTCCTGCTTTTTCCCCCCAAAGACAGTGCGGGGTGTGGCAGAAGTGTGCTGTGTCCCCTTCTGTTCCTGACTCACTGATTTAATCACCTCCCCAAAGCTTTACCTCCTAACACAATCACCTTGGAGTTAAGTGCTTTTTATCCCCACCCCTCCTCTCCCTTCCCCCTCCCCTCCCCTTTCTGCCCCCCCTTCCCTTCCCTTCTTTATTTCCTTTCTTTTTTGAGATAGAGTCTCACTGTGCTGCAAAATAAGTCTCATGACTATCAGCCCCGTTCACCCACATGTAATCTGTAGGAGAGAGGGCTTGGGTTCCTTGGAAAAGATGGCTTTAAAAAGAATTCATTGAAAAAATATGTGTTGAATGTCCTTTCATCTGCTAAGTGCTGTGAGACATTGGTTAATGCCACCCAGCCTCTGTCCTCATGGAGTTTCCACCATGGGGCTAGAGGGTGTTTTGGCTTTGCTTGGGTCCTCTCTAGGAGCCTAAGGGGACTAGGGTATGAGTGAGATTCCTAGGCCTGTATGTGCCAATCGCCTAGCCAGGACTTTCCGGAGCTACCCATTCTACAGCGAGAAGAGAATGGCCAAGGAAAGGCTGGGACTATGTGTGCTCAGCAGGGTGGGGAAGGCTGCATTGCCCAGGATTGCAGGGAGGCCTTAGAGAGGGAGGGACTGGACGTTCGTTGTCTTGAAGGAACCCGGTCAAATCCAGCCAAGAGGAATCCAAGCCAAGGTGTGGAGATCCCTGTACGAGGAGTCAGTGGATGCGGTGCTCGGGTGGAGCTCTGGGTAGCAGGAAAAGAAGACAGGATGCAGAAGGCTCCAGAGAGGAGCGCATTAGCCTCCCGGGAAAATGGCCCTTGGGAGGACCACGTGGGGAGGTGGCAGAGAACCTCCTCAAGATTCATCGGCTCGTCTGTGAAAATGGGGTAATGGCAACTCTTCATGGTTGTTGTGTGGATTCAAATACTTAATACACTTAACAGCGCTGAGCTTGCTGTAGGTCGGTAACCAAAGATTCACTGTAGTGCTGCTGCGATCTCTGTCTTTGGCGCCCTCTGGTGGGAAAGAATCGAACCGCTAATTCCTCTCTCCTTGGTCAGTTTCTTCTCTGGTCAGCAGGGGTCCCTCGCCACAGTGTCCTGGGCAAGGGAAGGCCTCCTGGGACTGGACACCTCCAGTTCTGCCCTTGGCCTTTGCTCCCGGTCAAGATTTGCTCCCATAATAGGTAGGACGGAGCTCTTTCCCAGCACGAGTGCCTTTTATCTGGTGTGCCCCGTGCATGTGCAGCACTGTGGGAGCCTTGTCCCCACCCCCTGCACCCGCTCTCCCAGTCCCTACTGCTATGCCCTACTTCCAGCACCCGTGACTCTCCCTCCCAGAGCCTCGCCCCCAACAAGGTGGGAGGCGCTGGGGTGTTGATGCCTCCCAGAACAACCCTCAACCAATGATAAATGAGAGTTGGGGCATGAACACCAACGTCAATGTCAGGTGGAACAACTCTGGCCTGTTCCTCACTCTCGCCTGAGGGCCGTAGCAGGATTCAGCCTCGGTTGCTTACAGTGCAAGTTCACTCATTAAGAGGCCCCCTCTTGGCTGCTCTCCCTTCCCTAGGTCATCTCCCAATTACGCTTGCATTGAAATCCTTGTCGTGGGTTCTCAACGAAGACAGCTTCCTGTCCTGTTCTCTGTCCCTACTTGGGACTAAGCCTGAGCCAAGAAGTTGTTCCTGACACATGGCTTTGTTCAGGCCTCATCCATCTCCTTCCCTCAGAGTAAGGCTCAGACAGAAAGCTTCACCATTTCTGTGCAGTGTTCCACCTGCTCAGCACCCCGGATGGCCCCTGAGTGGCCAGAATCCAAATGGAGAACACAGCTCAGCTTTGGGGCTGGACCCCAACTCTGCCACCCAGGACACTGCCATGTGGCAAGGCAGTGGGGTAAATCTCTCAAAGCTGTGGACCCTGCCTCTTCTTTGTCAAGGAAAGCCTGGCTCAATTTCAGTTCTTAAATGTTTCTTCTCAGTTATCCTTTCCAGTAGTAAATTCCTATTACCAAGAACATTCAAGAGAGTTTGGCCAAGAGTGGCCTCAAAATGGTTAAAACTATTGAACTACTCTGCCCCCACTCCCACCTCCAAGTCTCTTCATCAGTTTGAAATGATTTGAATGAGTGTGAAAGTGAATTTATCTCCCTGAACACAGGCTGGCTGCTCAAGGAGGCAGCTGGGAGAGAGCTAGCGGGCAGAGGGCCAGGATAAGGCTGCAAGTTTACAGAAACTAAGCCACAAAGCAGGCCGTTCTCAGTCTATGAATGGACACCCATCTTCCACAGCAGCAGGAGTTAGGTCCTTCAGATCATTTCTCACAAGTTCTTTTAACAACACCTACAAAATAGGGCTGGTAGCATCCCCCTTTTTAAAATAGTGTGGGAATTTTCTGTGATGAATCATGGGCAATGGCTTGGTCACAGTATGTATTTTGTAAATGTTACATTTTGAGCCCCTTGTTCTAGAATGTTTAGGATGGCTCTGGGAATATTTAGAGTGCGCCAGAGGTTTCTCAGAGATTGGTAGGTAGGGGCAATCAAGACAGAAGGCAGGGTTCCAGGACACAGGAGGCCTTTTCTTCCCTCCACCAGTGCAGGTGCTATGGCAGTCACCACACCTCCACCGTCATCCCTACATGCCACTACACTTCCTGCAGGTTGGCATCCCTTTCCATGCCCACTGGTTTACACAAACTCAGAGCAGCCACTTTGGTCCCCTCCTTGGATCCTTGAATCTCCTGGGGGGAGGGTGGAGAAGGCAGCGATGAAGCTGTACAGCTGTCAGGGTGAGTACAGGTGCACCGTGACACATCTGCACAGTCCATGTGGAATATGGGGACCACAGGTGGTATCTCAGACAGGTTGTACACAGCTGCTTCACAGAGGGGTGGTCACCAGGAGGCAGGTGCATAAATCAGATATTTGGAACAACCATTTTGAAGGAGTGGGAAGTAGCAGAGAATTGGAAACTGTCAAGGTGACCAACTCCTGGTTCTGTATGAGAAAGTCTAGCTTAGATTCAAATGGATGCCAAGGGAACATAAAAGTATAAGAATTCACTACAATCCCTGTCTTGTATTTTATAGCCTGGCCGCCAGCATTCTGGGTGTCTACTGATAAAGGTTCAGGGTCTCAATAATTGTTATACAGACTCTTATTTTCAGTATAAAACTTCTGCTTTCTAAGTCTTACCTGGTGCCTCCTTGGTCCAGAGACCCAAGCTCTCCAGAAATAAATTTCTAGTGGTCTACTGAGAAGAGATTCCCTGGGTCTGTCTGCTTCTTCAATAGACTTCCAGCCAGCCCACTTGCTGTCAGTCTACCTCACCACTCACCACCAGAGTGCATGCCACTCTGCTGACCAAGCCTTTGGAGGTCCTATGGGCAAAGTTGCCTCTTTCTCTTCTCCTTCCTGACACCAGACTCAGCTTTCTTGGAGCTGCTAAGTGGAACCACCTGTCCATGTCTTTTCTGGCTCCTAAAATTTTGTTACTGTCATCTCACTTCTTTCTGTTTGTCCATGGATTTATGCCATTCTTTAATCCTTGACTGATATTTTAGTGATGTCTCTGAGCTGGAACAGCAGTCAAAATGACCATGTTTGTTTGGTTAATTCTTCTATTGCTTGCAATCAAAAGACTCCCTACTATATTCAGGAGAACGCACGTTTGTTTGCAGTAAAAGAAAACCCTCTTGGCTTACACAAGAGAAATGCGTTTCTGAAACTCTGTCATCTCAAAGTCCCAGCTGGAGTGGTGGCTCTGCTCTAGAAGACCCAGGCTGCTGCAGTCTTGTTGTTCTGTCTTCCTTGAGGTGCTAATATCAACAACCAGTGTAACAGACACTCCTGCCTGCAGCAGAGCCATGGGAAAAAAAATAAGGGGGCAAAGGAGGGCCCAGGCACTCCCTTTAATTACATGCCCAGAGAGTATATGCCTTGTTTCTGCTCCCCTCTCACTGGACAGCCCCCTGAGTACATCTAGCTGCGAGAGGGTTTGGGAATCTAGTTTTTCCCTAGGAACCAGTCAGGGCTGTCTTCTTATGAACCAGAAGGAAAAAAAGTCAGTAGGTGACTTATGCATCATCCTGGAGGGGTATTGCCATTAATTAGGAAGGGACAGAGGGCTCTGGGGTCAGTGGCTCACCATGTATCCTGGCTACACTTTACTCATTCCACCCAACAGGAACCTGTAACCTCAACAATGAATGAAGGGGAAACTGAGGCCCATGAACGGCTCCAGGCTAGAGAACCCACCCCTGGCAAGTCTGGGATCCCAAGCCTGCTTCCTGCTGATGCTGTGCTTGGTCAACCTCCTACCTCCCTCTGACCCTCCACCACAAGGCAGGCTGGGAGAGCAGGGAGGCCTTCAACCTGTAGCTCAGAACTCCCCAACCAGAGCTGCAAAACGCAAAGACAGGGAGGTGCACCTGCATGTGATCTTTATTTCTCGTTTTTGTTAGACTTGATTGGGGGGTTTTGGAGGTTCATCTTGGGGTACATTTTCTCTTGGCTGGTCTTCTTCAGCTTCAGGTTCATCTTGAGAAGAAGGTTCCTCATTTGATTTCCCCAACCAGGCCCCCAAAACTGATCCAGTGGCACCCAGGAGGATATTGGATGATGTGGAAAGTCCAGCAGCCCCTGTGGAGAAAATGAAGGATAAGCATAGGGGATTGGGCATTGGTCAGTGGCTCAGGCCCCTCAGGAGGCCTGAGGCCCAGAAACTTCATCTGGATCCCTCTTCCATGTCCTGAAATCCCCTAGGGCTCTGCTTTAGGCAAAGAATGCTGGGGGTGGCTAAAAGAGAAAAAGACAGAGGACTTCAGTGTTGTAAGCTCCTGTTCCCCCCAGGTCCCCCTGCCTTCTCCCATTCCCCTGCCCTACAGGCCTTCCCAGCCACATTCCCAGGCCCCCTCCTTCCCCCTAGGGTTGCCAAGAACAAGCTTCAGAACAAGGAAGAAAAGTCCCAAGTTTCACAAAACCCCTGAGTTCTCAGTAGATGAACAATGGTGGAAAACTCACCAAGGCTTGCTCAGTAGATGAACAATGGTGGAAAACTCGGGGAGACTTGATTAATTACTGTTGTATAACTATAACCATTGTGGGGAGACTTGATTAATTACTGTTGTATAACTATAACCATTGTGATACAAGAGGTATCCATTGTCAACCAAAGCTGTATTAATTATTGTTACATTACTGTAACCATTGCTGTATCCATGACTACCTGAGCTGTAACTTCCCCTTAACCAGCCATGTTTGGCTTCTGTAATATGCTTGCACAAAACCTATAAAAGGCAACTCACCCCCCTACTTGGCTGCTGACTGCCTCTTGAAGCAGCAGCCTCTGCAGCAGGTAAAATAAACTACCAATTAATTACATCTAAGTGGGGGGTCTAACTCTATCTTTTCAGGTCATGGAGGATACCACATTTGGAGGCCCTAGTGAGATAAGGCAACCCGCCCCCCCCCCCCAACCTGGCCTACCTCCACCCGACAGCTCCAGGTGAAGGCCTCAAAGAAGTTTCTCTGCCCTGAAAGCTCTCAGGCATGTGGAATTTTGGGCACAGGTTCCTAAATTTTCCAATTCAGTAAGTCTGTCTGGGTCTCTAGAGAATCTGGGAAAACAGTAGGCTAGGCTAGGCTAGACGTGGCTTGAGACGCCTGTTCCCGAGGCAGTGGGAGACGTCCCCGTCTCTCTGGTATAGATTTGAGTTGTTTGTTTTGTGTTGTCATGATTAGAGGTCCTTATTCGACTGTTTCGATATTAGCGGTCTTTTTAAACTGTTTGGATTTGCAGGCTAGTCCTGTTCTGGTAAATTGCAGTCTTTTATTGCGTTGTCTTAGTTTTTTGCAGTCAACTGTGCTGGCTCTAGTTTGTGTGTCTTTTGTATGTTTTGAGTTTTGTAGACGTGAATGAGTGAAAGAGTTAAATGTAACTCCGTGTCTGACTAATTTCTACCTGTTGAATTCCATTTGTGTTTTCTGTCACGTCCACTTGTCATTTTACTTTATTGGTTAATCTGTTTTTTATAATATTTGTATTGTAGTCTTTTTGTCCACTTAGTAATTTGTTCAAAATAAGACAGAGTAATTTTTGAAAATGCGCTCTCAGTAACTTTTTAATTTCAGCCAAATTCACCAAAAACAACAGTAAGAAAGTGCATATTTTCTATAAGTAAAACTAACCAGCTTAACAAAGAGAAACTAAAAATTTCAGATTTTCAACTTTAAGAAGCAGGCACCTACTTGGCAAATATTAATTTGAGTCTACAAATCATGCGGGGGTGGGGTGGGGTTGGGGTGGGGGTGGGTAAAAAGTAGAGGCTGTGCCAAGAAAAAAAGTTGTGGTTTAAATGGTCCGGTGAAATGAAAATCTGGGAAAACTATCATAAAGAGCAAGCTGCAGCCAAATCAACCCTTGCTGCAGTCTTTGTCTAAAAAGGAACAGAAAGAGTCCTTGGTAGGTTTTTGTTCCCTACATTCATCCCTTTATATATTAGTAAATTGTGTAACACCTGTTAGTCAAGATTGTATTTAACTTATCAATTCCAGTGCTTTATTCAGTATCCCTTTAAAGTTCCTTTAAAGAACTCTCTTAGATTTCAATCCAGGAGAAGTAAGTCTCTGTTTTCTTTCCTCTTTTTCCTGGTAAACTGTTCACTATCCTTGAAACTGGGCATCACTTTTGTTTCTATATATTATTTACTTCCCGGTACACCTTCAATTTGTGAGCTCAAGTTCAACATTTGTGTTCTTGTCTGTCAACGTGACAATATACAATCTATTTTAACTTGGACTACAGCCACTGATTGTGGCTGAGTCACAAGAGCTGCTTTTCACCTAGGGGGCAGCTGCTGAACTTCAACATTGCTTTCCAGGTAGAAATCAAACTTTTACTGTATAGTTTTGTTCTAGAATCTTAGTCTGTTTGACAGCATGCTGTGTTAACTAGTTTCTATGTTCCTTACATGGCCCTTTTATACTTCTTCATTTCATTTTGACACTGTAGTACAAATAACCCCCTTATGTTAAAATCCTCTCTTTCCAGCAATTAAAGAATTAATACAAAGTTTATTAAACCTACTAAAAAACTGTAGTTGCTAAGTTACAAATAGCTTTGAGATAAGGTGCCAGCTCTCAGCAGAAAATTCAAGGTCAATTACTCATTTGAGACTAAAAAAAAAAAATTCCTCTTTACTTTTTAAAATAGCAACCTGACATCACTCTGGTTAGTATATATTCTGCTGATCTTCAGGTGGTCTCTGAGGGGGCCAGGCTGTAATCCCTTTGAGGGGAGGCACCCCCTGAAAACATCCCAGGGCCCCTAAAAAGGGGCCACAGAGGTAAGCCATTTTAACATCTATTTTTAACTGGTGTCTACAAACATTACTTAACTATTAATAGTATTTTAGTTATGCTTATTTGTTATGAATTGCTATAAAAACATGTAACTGTTAAAGTCATTTATTGTAAAACTCTTAAGAACCTCCAAGAGAAGGCCAATAAGATAGGAACTTTAAACAGGGACTCCAGGTTGCCAGGCCATTAACTTGTCAGAAACTCTCGGAAAGAATGACCCCACCAGTGGGAACTACAGCCCTACTGTCCTGTCAGGGACTCCCAGAAATGTGTGTTAACACCCACCACCAGAAATGCAATTAAAATAAAAGTGGGAGTCCAATCAACCCCTGGGGTGTTTAATCACCCACAGGCCTGTTAAAAGTAGATAAAAATATGTTCTGGTTCTAATTCTAAGAATACAAGAGTTTGAAAATAAATGTAGACTATTAGGCATTATTTACGTCAGGGCCTGTGCCTGTCTTGCCTTTTTACAACATTTGTTCAGTGTTTATTAGAAGATTGGTCTTGGCTTGAAACAAACAGTCTTGAAAACATTTGTGAGTGTATTGCAGATCTTTTATTTCAAGGGACCCTTCAAAACTTTACCCCTTCTGAAACTACCTTGCTCACTTACTTACTCTTATGTATTCTACACCTCTCACCGTCTGGTGCCTCTTTGGCCTGGCAGTCATTGGTCTCTTCATTTTTATTATTGGTATTAGGCTTGGTATCCCCCTAACTCTTTGATGCCCCATGGTCACTGAACTTTTGGACCCCTCCTTTTTCTGTTTAACGTTTGCCTGATTCCTTTTTGTTATCATCAGTATTCTTTCCCCTATCTAACGATAACTGGCTTTCCCACCCACTGTCTCTATCTCCCCTCCTGGGACCATCATCGGCCAGTCTATCCACCTCAATCCCACCAGAGTCGCCAAGGGGCTAAAAATGGTGGAAAAAGACCAAGATAGGGGGCTGCAAATTGACACCTCAGGGACAGAGAGATCTGAACAGAATTGCCAGACAGGCGACAGCTGCCAATAAAAAACATTAAAACAAATAATACTGGGTTAATAAATTGCCTCATTTGTAAATGAAAACATAACTTTACAAACTGAATGGGTATTCTAACAAATGAATAAATACAGTCCCACACCTTAGGCAGGGTTATTAGGTCTTTGTAGTTTTTATCCAGAAAAAATCAGGATGTATACTCCCTACTCAGAGTGAAGCCTTCCAAATGTTTAGAACTGCTTTATTCATAACCTTACTAAAGCTCAAAGGGTATGACCTGTGATGTGTTTGTGCCTAGAAATAAAAATCTAATTTCTAAGCTTACCTGAGCCTGAAAAATAAAGCTTTCCTGTTTAGCTCTAGTTGAAAAAAATCCTGTATCAATATTATGTTTCATAAAATGTCTCTCATTTGTAAATTGTAATAATTTAGTTGCCTAAAAAACTGAGTCTTTATCAAAGAAAAATTCTTGCCTTTTAAAGCTTTCTAATTATCAGTTTAGTGAGTAAATGGTTAACTATAATCCTGGCTCGGCACCTGTGGCTCAAGCGCCTAAGGCACCAGCCAC